TAATATAATATAATATAATATAATATAATATAATATAATATAATATATATTCAGCCAACTGGGACAGTGAAAAGCAGTATATGGCCTGACTGGCCTCATAATTTGAACATCTTTATTCGGCCACAAGAGGCTGCACTCCACCTGATTAAACTTGGTGGTTAGTGAGGCAATGCCATTTACAGAACAGAGGCCTCAGCATCAAAGTAAAATGATTGTGTGGGCTGCTCTTTCAACTGTAAGTGAAGCCCACCTGCTTTACATTGCCTGGGTATGTAGTTTCCTATGGTCATTAAAAAGGTAGTTAAAAAGCTCTAAATTTGTGTTTTTTTGCAGATCTTTATTACTACCAATGTAGATTTATTCATCATTGTCTAAAATTCTCTCAAATTATTACATAGTTTAGATTGCAAAGAATAGACAAATTATCAAAAGGACAAATCTGAATTTATCAGTCATTGTATTGTGAATGTGTTTTTATGATTGAGTGCATTTCTTGAAGTTGGTGGAAATACTGACAGCTGTTATATTAAAGATTATGATTAACGCATTATTATAACTATAGAATGATAATTTGTCGTACGTTACACAACAAATTATTTTAGATGGTATAAAAGGAATGAACTATTTATATGTTTTATCCCTATTTCACCTTATCTCTAATCTACTGTACAAAAAGTGTGTCTGAGTGTCTTTTTATTAGATTATTTTAAGACACCTAAGAGTACAATTGGAAAGTACTAGGAGAATGAATAGCCAGTAGAACGGGCTCCTCTTCCAGCCCTAAAAAAGCGCTTTCCTTTTTTTCATTTTCACAACTCTTAACGTTTTTCATTTTATCAGATTGGCAGGTATTGTTGAAACTGAGGGGCAGAATGCAGTGCTTTTTAAATAGTGAAGAGTCTATGAAATCACATCACATGCACATTGATCAAGAACATTTCAAATTTTTGTTGTTTCACGTCATCCAGCAATGATGACACAACGAACATAGACACAATATCTCATTAGCTGCTTTTGGTAAAGAGTTTACAACAAGCAGCGAATAAGCGGGCTCAGTGTTTAAAGATACTTATTCAAAGATAGAAAAAAAAATGGTACGAAATATCAAAGGTAACATTGAACGTAAAATCATTCTACTGTGGCCAGAATACCAGATTCCAGGGCCACACAGGTACAAACAACCAAACACACTCACAGTCCTACTCATGTGCAATTTGGAGTGTCCAATTAACCTAACGTGCGTGTTTATGGCCAGTGGGAGGAAGCCGGAGTACTTAGAGAGAACCCACGCAGACACAAGGAGAGCATGCAAACTCCCCACAGAAAGGTCACGCTCCCCCTGGGACTCAAACTGTGAAGCTTCATCATGATTAAATATGAGCATTCAACCTTATAAAAAGTAGGTTCCTATTAAAAATATGCACCGACTATAAATAACTCTGTAATTACTCAGTTGTAAAACAAAACGAAGCCCAACAAAGCTCCTTGTTTATGGTAAAATCTATTTTTATTTCTGTTTTTAAAACTCTCTCTGATTATCTAGCATGGGTTCTTTATATGCGCCTACCTGATTGTTAGGGAATGAGTTATATTGTATTCCAACCAGCAAAGGACATTTTTACACAAAATGATCAATTCAGGCTGTATTCTGGTGTAATAAAACACAATAATTCCAAATTCTCTAATTGATTATTTTATGTTTATACTCCACAATTTACTTTGGCTCTTAAAAGTTTCAAGAGAAATGTATTTGGACCAAAGGAATAGTCACATGGGTCTCCCTTCACCAATTTCTTAGTCAAAAGACTCTCCTACCACTGTGTAGATGGCCGAATAAAAGCTGAGGGCCGCATCTTTGGAGGGGAAGGACTTGCGAGCGGATACCACCAGGAAAGGGTTCCCCGTGCAGGCTCGGAGCTCTGTGATGTACTGCAGAGGAGACTGGCAGCCCAGAGCTGTGTAATTTGGCTTGCAGGTGGACAAGAAATGAGGTGTCTGGTTTCCTGTCACAACTTGTCCAGCGTTGGCAAAAATAGTAGTGGTAAAAAGACCAAAGGAGTAAACACCTGCGAGAAAAAGGGCACAAGTAAAGAGTCAACTCAAGATAAGAGTAAGAAATACGCATTTGTAGTTGGGTTTATCTGTGCTATCTGTATGGTTTTTAAAGGCCAGAAAGACACAGGTTTGCTTTTAAGCTTTTGAATTCTGTCTACTAATCAGAGATGCTAAAAACATAGTACTGAGTCAACATAACAGGGCATGAAAAGAAAAGCAATGAAAATTTGTCCACAGGAGACCCACTCTAAGAATAAGGGCTCCTTTTTTCTATTCCACACACCCTGTGAGAGAGGAGTGGTGCTGTAACTCTTAATGAGCCTTGGACCTAAAAGTACAGAGGCTCTTATACGTCAAAGCCAAAGAACTTCTGATCTTTTAGACTGTGACTGACCCAAAAAGCGAACTATCCTACGGAGGAGAGGGTTGAAATAACAGCAGTCAGCAGTCACTATGGTCTTCTCCTGAGCGCCTTCTGTCTTTACAAAGAAACTGGTCACTTCTCCAATCAGAATCTGGCACACACAAAAAGGAGAGGGAAAAACAGACACAAACATTTTTTTTGTCAGACACAGAGCTGAAACTGCATGAATAATGGCTGATCTGTTTCAATGCATATTCTGCCAGTTAAATATGGTGCACAGCAAAATTATTCATGAGTGTTTCTCCCCTCAGCTGGGCACTGATTAAAATTTCCCCCACCATGTGCTTGATTTTATGCCGCTTTTCTGGAATCACAACATTAAAATCTTCATCTCGCTGTAATCAGTTTAACCTGGATGTGTTGCAGACCCCTCTGATTGTTCAGTTTCTCTCTTTTTTGTGAACATTTTACTGAAGATCCACAAAATTATGGCAACACTTTTCTCAGTTGGGTTAACTAAATCAGTAATGAGTATTTGGTTTGTAAGTTAACACCAGTCGAACACGTTTTTTATTCTTTTAAATAAATATTTGAAAAGTTTTATATTTAGCTCACTGTGATCACACTCTTAAAACTTAGTATTTCTGCTGTTAAAGCTAATGCTCATTTCAAGGACCCATTTAGATGGCTAATGCCTTAAGCGTCTGGTTTTAAACCCGCTTTTAAAAGTTTCAAGTCAAATCAGCAGAGGCCTAATTTCTTTCGACGGGGGAATAAATTGGCTAAACACCATACTCCATGTATCCAGAACCATTTTAGTCTGCGTACGGAATTTGCCTCATCAAGGATCCTGAGCTGACAGAAGCATGGATAAATGTAGGTTACATGTTCATCAAATATGCATAGCTTAGAGTAACAAGCATGGAATAATTCTATTAGAGCAAAGCTCCTCGTCCTCAGTGTGTCAGATGAAGGCCACGCAGGCACTGATGCCGTGAACTAAGAACCATCTAGCAGAGGGTTAATTTGGAATGGTGGCGCTCGGGTGTCAGCGTCATTACTATATATGACCTCAGTGCTTCAAAGACACACAACATTAAGGATTATATAGTCTAAAGCAGAAAGGTTTAGATTTCTGACGAGGCAAGAACAGATCTGATGCATCTGCAGAATTGTGTGTATTGCAGGACAATACTCATTTAACTTCTTATTCATTTTCGCATGTATATATTTTTCAATGTGTTCTGCATCCCATATGCAGCAATGAAAAAATAACACACCAATTTCCACCCTGGAAACTCCTTTGTTGTTTGAATACACCTTTTTTTCCCCACACATATTCCTTTACAGATGAAAAACAACACAAGATATATCAAGTATCATTATGTACATAACAAGAAAACAATTGAGTTAACATGAAGAAACTAAAACACATTTTTAGACCTAGCTCCTGACAACAAGAGTTTGAGTCCAGTTCTAATGTCCCAAGCAAAAGCTGGAGCAGGTAGACAAAATGACTCAAACATTGTGTCGGTGGTGGTTATAATGGCAACCATTAATAGCTATCAGTGAGATTCACACGCATGCATCGCCGGGGGGTAATGGAAGAAAGAATGAAAAGACAACGGTTTGCTCAGGAAATGTAGTTAAATGCCCCCATCTTCACATCTGGTGATATGATAGCAGATTCAAGACAGAAGTGGTTCCTGCTTCCAGCAGCTGAGTCCTACTATAGGATCAGCAGGAACAGCCAGCCTTTGCCGCACTGTCTTCTCTCCCTAGGGATAAGTTGGTTAATATCCAGCTGAAAACCTTTGAACTATTTCCAAGAAAGTTCTAATATACATTTATTCCCCTTTGCGGTTTTTCATGCTTCCCTAAAAGAGCTCTACCATCTCTCTGGAAATGTGAACTCATTCACACCGGTTCAAAAATGATTGAAACCTAAATGAACTCACAGATCCAATGGTGCACATACAACCCCGATGGAAATAAACTATTTTCCATACCCAACTTAATTGCGCTGTTGTCTGCAATTGGGTGTGTTTCCCTATTAGGTCTTGACGCTATGACACGGATTTGAGCATCTTTTTAAAAAAATTGAAAAAAACATTAGAAGCAGTGGAAGTTTCCTGCTCCTGAAACATTGCAACATTGCAATGTCAGCAGCACATTGCCATGGAGGAAAAACATCAGCAACTTTTAAGGAGACCATGTGGAAGAAATTGTTAATGGTGTGAAGGTTCTGTCCTGGAAAATGTACTAGGAGACTGGTGGTATTGACCGCATGGTGTACAAGAGAAAATGCAGAGAGGACCTAACATGTTGTTTTTACAATATATATGTTATCTATTCTTTCTGAAAATATATATCAACCAGCATTGGGCATGTTTAGTATGCCACAACTGACACATGCTATGTATCCATCTGCCTGCATTCATATACCATGAATCTATCTACATGTAAAAGTGAAGAACTTGTAGGAATGTATGCCACCTCCATCAGTCTAATTAAGAAAACCTAAATGTGGTTACTTAAAACGTACTTGATTATGTGGCAACACTTACAAAAGGCATACTCAGAGGGACTAAGAAGTGTTGAGGGGGAGGGAAAGATATTTGTCATGTGCCTTCTGCCTGGATCTGCTAATAACATAGAAGCTGCTAGTGTAAGGGATTTGCTTACACATAGATTTGAGGATTACATTATTTGTGTAATGGTTAAACAGCCACTGTAGGTCCATTCCTTACTTCAGGAAGTATGATGAATCATATAGCCCACTAGCTCCAGGTAACTAAAGGGTTTTGTTCTCTTTTTCCTGCTTAATTCACTTCTTCTCACTGTGGTAGAGAATTTGCGAATATCCTCTATGGGTAACAGGCTGCTGTGTCCATTCCTATGGCAACATTCCTCATATATTGTCAAGCTAACTGTTCACACCAACATTAAATATTTATCCGGCGGAAAGATCACACAATTCCCCGCTGATTCTCAGAGCAGCTACTTAATCCCACTTTAATCCTGATAAAAGCTTTGAAAAAGAAATTAAATGAAGTTACTGTTCATTCTATTTGAAGTCTATGTACATCAATCAATATTCATTAAATGAATAATCTCCGCATCTGCAAAGCAAGAAGATATTCGCTTTCACAGCTCTGTCATGTCTTCTGCAACCAGTACCAGCCATTTACCTTAAACTCATAACCTCAGTTTTTCTGTGCAGGCCTGTGTCATTGTGATAATAGTCAAGGGGCTCTAAATAATATATTTGACACCAAGTAACTTCCTATTCCATTTGTGGAACCTGTTTAAAACTTCTACAGATTAATACTTCCCTCAGCTTAGCCTCACATCAAAATTTCTTATAGGCTCTAATGAGAATGCATATTGTGGGATGGAAACCTGGAGGAGATATCTTGTTTTTTTGTTGTTTTTTTGTATTGTGGGCCCCAACGTCAAAGTTTGTATGAGTTGTTTTAAAAGTGGTAGAACATGCAGAGGGTCTATGCACTGTGCTGGTCTGTCATAATGAAGACAACTGTATAGGGAAGGTTTTGTCGTTGTACCAAATTACTCATGTTTAATTCCACGTATAGCCTTGAGCTGCAGCTGATCACTGAAAGAATGAGATTACCAATGCTTCTGACAGAATAGCACCTTTTTATGTGTTATGTTTATGCATTTCGCAGATGCTTTTATCCAAAGCGACTTACAAAGCAGTGGATCTCTCGATCTGCAATTAAATGCTCTACCACTGAGCATATTTTTAGTTTAATTTCAGAACAATCTCATCCACGGGGGCACTCAGAATAGCATCTGTCATTTATGGAACCAACTGACGTGTTTTGGTAATTTCTTAAAGGGACTAAAGTGGACACACAGAGGGCTGAATTGGGGGACTTCTCAGTGTCCCTGTAGAAGAAAAAGTTGAAGGGGCAAAAGACCTCTGCCTTTGGTGTTGTACCAAACAAGCAACACAAAATTGACTCCAAATGCAATTCTGACAGCTTTCATTGTCTATTACGCACATGTTCAGTGTATGTGCGGAAGAGGACACAAGGCAATAAGTGGTGAGACTCTTTGATGGCTTTTTGTGTGTTTACAATATCAATGAGCGAATAAAATGCAGCATGTCAGCAGAAAAGTAACTAAAGTAACACTTAGCAGCAACTTTGCTGCTTCACACATTATCTTGCTTAGTCAAGCTGAAGTCTAAAAACGTACCAACATCATCATAGATGAAAATCCTGAGATTTACGATGCTCCAACTCCTTTGAAGGTTTTTCATCAAGAGATAACTATTCAAAATAACTTAGTTACTAAAGAGCCAGGCTTTTCCCTTCATAGGGAGTGAAGTTGAAACTAAACCATAGTTATGAAAGAAGAAACAGTGGATTAAGAGAAATTTATTCATACAGCTAAAATTGATGATTTATATCTGAAATGTGCTGGATTACACAAAAATAGCAAGTCAATTTGAAAGCAAAAAAATATGACTTTACCAATAAATGGATGTCTAAAAGGACAAACATATTAAAAACCAAGAAAGACTTAAGAAAAAAATTAAGGCTAATGCAACACAAACTAACACCTTTAAAGTCATACAGTATAATCATCTTAGAGAAGGCAACACAAAAAAACACTATGTGGGAGAGTTTGGCTTAATGTGTGAAAAAAATAAAGCACAAGTACAAATTTGACAGCAGGAGATGAGATGAGGGTCTCAGGTTGAGCTAATCTGAGAGTTAACATTTCAATTACAATGTAATTACCTAAATCAGAGAAGACTGTTTGACCAACAAAACATATATACATATCTTTAATGTGCAAAAGGGAAAATTCAAGAAAGAAGAAAAATTATATTTGCATTAATACTTAATGATAAATTCAATTGATGTCCTAAACCAAATAGATAAATCTATTAATTTTTTATACTCCCACAACCATCAGTGCCTGTGTTTTGCATCTGAAGACCTATCAATTCAAGCCCTCTTCAAGCAGATCTGACACTAACAACTTTTTCATATGCCAATTATTCAGCCGTGGATAAGAAAGGGAAAGAACAGCTTGGACAGTAAGAGACAAGAATAAGAACCAAAAAATTCAACACCATTTTGTGAAAGGCAATGAGAGGATATTGGAATAAACACT